TATGTGCATCTGTAGCCTACAATGTGGTTTGTATTAGATAGTGCTGATTTTAAGTGCTGAATCCTAGCATTCATAATAAATAATCACTTTGAAATAAACTTTCAAAGTGCACACAAATTTTCTTTCAATTTCTGTATGCATTTAGATAAACACTAAAGACTGAAGTGTTGTAGTAGGTTGTAATATCTAGTTTTTTGACAGCAGTTCATTAGGCGCTTTTATAGAAAATTTATGGTAGGAAAATATACAGATATTAATTTTCTAGTATTTCTCCCTCTTTTACCCAAAAGTTGCCCTTCTCAAATTTCAAAAAGGAAAATGGACTCTTTGTGCTACTTAGTCTTAAGGAGGTTTATGTTAACAGACAGAAAGCAGAAATTGCTTGCAGATTACCTGTATCGTTGCTTTAGTTTTTAGGGTCTGAAGGTAAGAGGTAACTTGTCTTGGAGGATGAGAAAGAGATAGAAAGAGAGAGAGACAAAGAGGAGTGTGTGTCGGGGTGGGGAGGTATATTTGCCCAGGCCTAGGGAGAAAAGAAAGTTCCTGAGGTTCTCTGAAAAGTAGTGACTCTTAATCAACACCCAATTGCTCCCCTGGGGAGTGCCAGGTCCCAGAAAATAACTAAATGATGCACAAAATAAATTTCAGTGACAGCCAGAGAGGAAGGAACTTCCTGCATTTGCTGGGTAACACAGAAGCCACGTAGATTCTGGTGTGATTATAAGGAAGAGGTAGGGTCTCAATAATGACTGAGATGCAGTTTCTTGCCACTTTGACTGGATGGTACCTCACCATCCAGTAGTGCTAGTTGGATTTCCTAGCGCTACTTCGCAGTGAAGGGATTATTCCAGTAAAGAATTGATTAAGTAAGCCTTCTGTTTATAAATACAATGCTTCTATTTTCTCAGAGGTGGGGGAGGGGGGTTGAATGTAACTTGAGAGACTCAGGTACACATATTCCCCAGGACAATTTCAGCCACAGACAGACATGCTGATACATTAGAAAATACTTTAGCTCGTATTTCTTTACTGACCCCAGGAAGTTTTGTTTAGCTTTTCTCAGATTCCAGCATCATAAAAATGATGAGTTTAATATAAAAAACTCTAGCTTTAGGAAAGTTAGCAATAACACTATGACTCTTTTCAATTTTTAGTTAACTTTTATTTATTTTTGAAAACATTTACTTGTACATGTGTGTGTGGTACAATGTGTTGTTTCAATACATGCACATACTGTACATTGATTCACTTAGGGTAGATAGCATAGCTTTGTATCCATTAGTCCACCACTTCCCTTCCCACCCCCCAACCCCTCCCCGTCTTGGCCTCTGGTAACCATTATTCTACTCTCTACTTCTATGAGAACCACCTTTTTTTCCCCCCAGACTCTACATAGGAGTGAGATCATGCAGTATTTGTCTGTCTGTGCCCGGCTTACTTCACTTAACATGATGGTCTCCAGTCCCAACCATGTTTCTGCAAATGACAGGATTTCATTTGTTTTGCTTTTTCCTCTGAATAGTATTCCATTGTGTATATATACTACAGTTTTGGGTTTTTTGTTTTTGTTTGTTTTGTTTTGGTTTTTTATCCATTCATCCACTGATGAGCACATAGGTTGATTCCATCTCTTGGCTATCGTGAACAGTGTCTTAATGAACATGGGAGTGCAGATGTCTCTTCCTTATGTTGATTTCATTTCCACTGGGGATATGCCCAGTAGTGGGATTGCTGGGTCATAGGGTAGTTCAATTTTTAGTTCTCTGAGGAACCTCCATACTATTTTCCACATGGCTGTACCAGTTTACATTCCCACCAACAATGTAGGAGAGCTCCCTTTTCTCCACATCCTCACCAGCATTTATTTTCTGTTTTGTTGATAATAGCCATTCTAACTGGGGTGAGATGACATCTTATTGTGGTTTTAATTTGCATTTCCCATGATTACATCATAACATCATGATTAGTGTTGTTGAGCATTTTTTCATTGCCTGTTGACCATTTGTATGCTTTCTTTTGAGAAATATCTGTTAGGATTGTTTGCACATTTTTAAATTGGGTTTTTTGTTTCTTTGCTGTTGAGTCATTCAAGTTCCTTATATATTCTAGATATTAGCCCCTTGTCTGATATGTAGCTTGCAAACACTTTCTCCCATTCTGTAGGCTCTTTCTTCACTTTGTTGATAATGCCCCTTTCTGTGCAGAAGCATTTCAGTTTGATGTAGTCTCGTTTGTGTATTTTTGCTTTAGCTGTCTGTGTCTTTGCAGTCTTGCTCAAAAAAGTACTGCCCACTCCAATTTCATGTAGTGTTTCCCCTGTGTTTTCTACTAGTAGTTTCATGGTTTGGGGTCTTAAATTTAGGTCTTTAATCCATTTTGAGTTGATTTTTGTGTATGGTGAGAGATATGGGTCTAGTTTTAATCTTCTGCATGTGGATTTTCAGTTTTCCCAGCAGCATTTATTGAAGAGGCTGTCCTTTCCCCACTGTATATTCTTGGTACCTTTGTTCAAAATCAGTTGGCTGTAAACGCATAGGTTTATTTCTGGGCTTTATATTCTGATCTATTAATCAATTTGTCTGCTTTTATGACAGTACTATGCTGTTTTGTTTAGTATAGATTTATACTATATTTATACTATATTTTGAAGGTAGTGTGATGCCTCCAACTTTGCTTTTTTTGTTTGTTCCTTTAAGATTGCATTGGTTATATGGGGTCTTTTGTGGTTCCATACAAATTTTAAGATCATTTTTCTATTCTGGTGAAGAATGTCATTGGT